TGTTGTTGTTGTTGTTGTTTGTGTGTGATTAAGAAAGCCCATATTCCACAAATACAAATGACATGAAAATGTGTGGAAGTAGATTACAACGTAAGTTCAAAGTTACAGTGTGTGAAGTAGAGGAAAAGGGTTGCCCTTTTCTTTTGACAGGCAGAGTTAGACAGTGAGAGAGAGAGACAGACAGAGAGAAAGGTCTTCCTTTTTCCGTTGGTTCACTCCCCAAATGGCCGCTACGGCCAGCACGCTGTGCCGATCCAAAGCCAGGAGCCAGGTGCTTCCTCCTGGTCTCGCTTGTGGGTACAGGGCCCAAGCACTTGGGCCATCCTCCACTGCCTTCCCAGGTCACAGCAGAGAGCTGGACTGGAAGAGGAGCAACCAGGACAGAATCCGGTGCCCATATAGGATGCCAGTGCCGCAGGCTGAGAATTAACTAAGTGAGCCATGGCGCCAGCCTAAAGGGTTGCCTTTTTAACTGCATCGGCTGGGTTATCCTGTAAAGGAGGGAAAAGCACAGAGACACTTTTCATTATCGACAAATCTTTGTTTCACCTAAAGGTAATACTTTCCTTTTTTTCTTCAAAATAGAAATAATGCTTTTTTAAAATCATGTAAGTGATCCAATCTCAGAATTTTTAAATACAGAAAAACATTAAAAATCAGAATCAGAAACTTTGAACATCAGTGATACTCAGAAACCATGATTTTCAGGTTAGGAGTATATTTAGAATAATAACTTTGTAGATACTTGTATAAATCGTTCATTTTAAATTGTGTATATTATAAACTCTGACTAGCACTTTGCATTTAAAATGACTTACATTAATTCAATGAAAGGAATGAAATATTCCATCCATAGACTCCAAAAAGATGGATGAAATTATTTAATAGAAAGAACATAACAGCAACAATTAGAAATTTCAGGATTCTGTTCCATCTTTAACTTGCTGATGCCCTGAGCAATTGGTTTCTTTCTCCTGTGCTCCAGTCTTCTCATCTCAAGAGTAAAGAAGCTGAGCATTATGTACTCAGAGGTCCATATCATTCTCGATATTCTTTGTATCTCTACTTCTTAGCTTTACCATTCCTAATAGTTCATTCTGTTATTTTTTTCTATCACCTGCAAGTTTGTTTGACTCACCACAACTTGATCAAAAAGATTTTAAGGGGCAGGTGTTGTGGAACAGTACAGTTAAAGCACAACTTGGGTTGCCTGCATCCCGTATCAGAGTGTCTGGTTCGAGGCCTGGCTATTCTGCTAAAGCACCCGAGGCAACAGATGATAGACTGGAGTTCCTGCCACCCATGTGGAACACCTGGATGGAGTTCCTTGCTCCTGGCTTCAGTATCACCCAGCCCCAGCTCTGTGTGCAGGCATTTGTAGAGTATAACAACAGATGGAAGATCTCTCTCTCTCTCTCTCTCTCTGTCTCTCTCTCTCTCTGTCATTCTGCCTTTCAAATAAATAATCTTATTGAAAAAAGATTTGAAGATGCTCTAAGATGTACTTTATAAACAGTATGCCATATATTGGTGATTTTGTTTATATAAAACATTGAGAGATGTATGCAGTTCATGCCATACATAACAAAGCACTGTAAATCCAGTATAATATGGACTTATAAAAATAAGAATACCATCTTACATTTATATTGTGCTTTATAGTTTTCAAAATGCTTTCACAAAAAGTTCACACACGTATCTTCACAATTTCTCCTCTGACATGAATTTGCTAAGAATTTTTGCCTTTGATTTAATAATTCCTCCTAGAAACTCTATCATAAAGAAACATTTCTAAATCCTGAAAACAATTAAAGGTATTTGTCATAACTGAAAATAGTTGTCTGGGAATAGGTTAAACTGAGGCACATCTACTGGGATTAAATTTTTTATGAGGGGCAGGTGTTTAGCCTAGCAGTTAGGATGCCTCATCTCATGTCAGAGCCTCAGTTCAGTGTCTGGCTCCAGCTCCTGTCTCCAGCTTCCCGCTCATGCAGATCCTGGAAGGCTGCAACTGAGTTGCTGCCACACGTCTGGGAGACGGATTGAGCTCTTTCTCCTGGCTGAGACCCTGCCCTTGAATGGCAGCAGATGGATGGGAGCCTTCTCATTCTTTCTTTCTCTCTCTCTCTCTCTCTCTCTTTCTTTCTCCCCCGCTCTCTCTCTTCCTCCCTCCCTCCCTTGCTCCTTCCCTCTCTCTCTAATAAATAAATATAACTTCACCACAGACAGAGATGGAAAACAGTGGGATAGCATATGTGGCACTATTTTATTGAATTCCTGTAGTCTCTTGAGAAATAATTTCCTTTACAGAGGACTTCATATTCTATTGTCATATATCAGAGGGAAAAGGATTTTGAATTAGAGCCCTTCGTTTTTCTTAATTTCACAAATATCAGTTTTTATTGATTGCCTACATGCAAAGCATTTTTATTCTTTATTCCTTATCTTCCCAATAAGCCCTTCTCAGTTTTTATTATCCTCATTTCATAGAAACGTAGACAACCTTACAGTAATTTTTGATAGAAGAGGAATTTTGAATAAATTACCAAAACAAATCTGGATGGAATATTTCTGGTAGTTTATCTCCATGACAATTTGGAAATAACATTTGTGATGATTTTAAGGATATTTTATATAAAAATAAGCCCTATACAAATGAATAGTCTGAGTTCTGGATAGATGTATTTTCTTTCAAATATGCCTCAAAGTCTAAGATTTCCCAAATGCCTAGTAGTAAATGAATTTGTAGTGTGTGGGCTTTTACCAGTTGTGGGTCAAGCCCTTGGACTGAGCATTGAAATCAAACCTAATTAGAAGAGAAAGTGAGAAAAACGATGTCTACATTTTTGATACACTAATTGTGGTGGGCATTCTATCCAAAGTTTGCTGAACTATAACTGCTAAACTAACCATGAAAAGGAAATTACTTTGTATAGTCAAGCCAAGTATTTTTTTTAATGTTTAGTTTATAATGTCACTTAGGATTCTTCTTAAAGGCTTGTGAACCTTTGCCTTCCTTTAATAAGCCTTCGTAATGACAAGGTCTCTCAGGAATGAAGTCATCTGAGCAGAATGTGCTTGCATCTTAAAATCTGATAAACATCACTTCATGGAATTTAGGAGATTAAAAGAGACTTAAAACACATAACTGTTACTTTCAGGTTGTTACAACCAAGGAAGCCTGTGGGCCAGCTATCAAAATAGCTTAGCTTCAGTGCGTTCTGAGCAGTGGGTGTAGCCAGGTTGGTTAGCGCTGCTCTAGCCCTGGTCCTCTGAGCTGACCTGTAACTTGCCATGTCCTCAAATGTAATTGCTCCATCTCTGAGGCACATTTATGTGTCCCTTTGCCCTTGATGCTAATTCATCATTTGCTTTATGGTAATTCCACTCAGACATCATCAAGCCCCACTGGAGGCTACTAAATGATGTGAGTGGATAGATTTCCTAATCAGTGACATTAGTTTACATCTCTTTATTAAGATTCCCATTAAATTCCTACCAGGAGAGATAACGTGAACACTAATGCACTTTACATCTTCCATCAGTGCTTTTTTATTTATTTCTATAAAGGCGGTACTAATATCTGAATTTAAGAGTCCCAGAGAATACAAAGCTTTTAGTAATGGTCTAAGGTCTTTTATTCTAGTAAGATATGAAAGATGTGAAAGAAAAGACATTCATTATTATGTTGTAATTTTAATCTCGTTCCCTCCCTAAAGCCATTAAAATCTACTTAATATCATTAGTTTTAAAAATTAATTAATATCTTATGTAATCTTTTCCAAACAGAAATATATTATCCTTGTTCCCCTGGACTTTATTTTTATAAGTTATCTTGATTTTCTAATTTTAATCTGAAACTCAGGATATATACATATGAACTTTATGTATCTTTTGATATACTAGCCAGAAAGTATTAATTGAATAAACTGTATCAGGCTCTGGGCAGTGGTAGAGGGATACAAAAGAACTTGACCCATATGAAAACTAGTTCATATGTATATAAAATCTAATTGTTTTGATGAATTTCCCACCGTGTTACCTTAACCAAAATAGCTATTCAATAAATATCTCTTTTATTGCATTCATTATCAAAGTTGCTAATGTGACTTACCATTTCATAAGTCCCTAAATTGCTGCCTTCAGGGACTATCACAACTCTGTGACAATGTGGTACCCTTTTGTTTCACTTTGGGTTTTTGCTGTTACTACTTTTTCAGAACTGGTGATATGAAGTAAGCAATACCGCAAAGTGACAGTTTTATAAATCTCCTAGTACACATATACTTCTGTGTATATGAAAGAGAAAGAGAAAGAAAAATCCTGTGTGTATGAAAGAGAAAGAGCAAATTAGGTAGTGGAGCCTTTTTGATTTGCTCTTTGTGGCAGACTTCATTACTAAGAATAAAATACTGAAGAATATCTGAGACTTACTGTTATTAATTCAGTGCGTGCACTCTTTCCTCCTCCTCCAAGTAATGATATAATTCCATACACTCAAATTTACTAGCACACACATTTACTAACTGCATTAGTTTGGACCCAATAAGAAGCGGACTCCGAAGGGGGGTTAGATGTGCAAAAATGGTATTGGTGGAGGTAGCAGGAGAAAGTGGGGAGAGCCTCCAGGCTGCAGTGCAGATGTGATACCTGTAAAAGGAGAGAGGGAAGGGAAGGGAGGAGGATGAGACAGAGAAAGTCATGGACTGGGGCTGGCACTTTGGCACAGCAGATTGGGTCACCACCTGCAATGCTGGCGTCCCATATAGGTGCCCGTTTGAGACACAGCTGCTCCACTTTCAATCCCGCTCCCTGCTAATACACCTGGGCAGGCAACAGAAGATGGCCTTGGGCCCCTGCCACCCACATGGGAGATTTGGATGGAGTTCCTGGCTGCTGGCTTTGATCTGGCTCAGCCATGGCCGTTGCAGCCATCTGGGGAGTCTCTCTGTGTCTATAACTCTGCCTTTCAAGTATAATAAATAAATCTTTACAAACAGGAAGTCTTGGACTGCAGCTCACTTTCAAGAAAGGTTCATGAGAGTTGATGGAAGTTCCTCAAGCCAGGTGTAGTCCCGTGTGTCACCAGATGGGCTTTCCTTGACCACTGCTGTACACGGTCATCGACTGGGAAGGCATGGATGCGGTGAGCACCCAGAGAGGTAATAGCTGAGCCCATTTCAGCCAGTTTTGATCCCTGTGTCAGGAGATTTGGGTGGCACATCTCACGGCTTTCAGACTCTTAGCATGACTAGATAAGTATCCAGGCACCTCACTGAAACTCTGTTCGGAATGGTCACACGACCAACTCAGGCTCATAAACATTCAGTAAAATATACATCAATAAAAATAGTAAACAAAAGATATGGAACATAGTTATAATAAATGTTAGCTTTCTTCCTGTACCCCCTTCTCCTAGCCTGTGGTTAGTTTTAAATAGTCTGTCTCATCTCTTTTTTTCTCTAACAAACATCAAATTGTGCTGAGTTTGGGAACATCAGTGCTGCTCCAGTGTGGTTCTCAAGCCAGCAGGCAGCATGCAGTCCACAGAGCTGTATGTTTTCAGTCTGCAATAAGGTAATGAACTTGTGCTGAGTGCAGGTTGGCCATGTCACCAATATGCCACTCTGTCCAGATGTACTCTTTTCTTTTGCATCAAGACATTCTTGGTGAAGGAAGTGGTGCATTTGTTTATATTCTGCCACAAACTCCTCATCGGTTGTTGACTGGCACTTTGAATAGCATTGTGGTTTAGGCAAATGTAAAAAGTAGAATGTGAAATCCTTTTTTGAGTCAGATTTTCTTCTCTACCACAAGCAAGGCTTTGTCATGTGTACTTCTGGTTGTCGGCCGCAGGGAAACCACTCCAAGCTGCAAGTTCCTTATGTCCGTGGCAGGCACTGGCAGCGTTAGTCAGCATTTGCCAACAGCGAGGCTTGTGATCAGATACCTAAGTAGTCAGATATATCACTGTCATATTTCCAGGTCCTTTTCCATGCATGCATCCCCTTTGCAGCTCATTTGTCAGCAGATATTTCTTGAGCCCTTCCTACGTGCCAGATCTGTGCTGTGTGCCTGCTGATGCCCAGTGCCTGGTACCTTCTGTAACCTTGAGCCCTTAAACTGCGGTGCCCCACTAGCATCCACACTCCTTCCCAGGTCCAGAGTGCTCCAAGGCCCATCCCCCAGGAAGCACACAGATAGCTAATTAAAAGGAAAATAATGTGATTGAAGTAGTAAAGCTGACTTCCCTTCTACTTACATGTTTGTGATTTAAAATCAGGGCCAGTTACTGACACAGGCATGTTTTTGAACTGTGGATGCCCTCGCCTAATCCATGAGCTTTGCTCTTTGTTGAGTTGTTTTCACCCTATATTGGAGAAGTGCTTGTCATCACACTTCTATAAAGCTGCCACCTCCTGCCCTAAAGTGGATGTCGGATTTTCCCACAGCATTTTACTTTGATAACTTTCTCTCATGGAATAAACTTGGTCAGGGACACGTGAAACCGGGAAACCAATCTGGTCTATTGTATGTTTAAGGATTTAAATTATTGGCTATATCTTGTTTTTAATTGTAGATGTCCTTTTATACTTGAAGCTAATTAGATAGAGATTTGGTGCATTTTTTTCCTGTGTTTTCCCAGATCTTTGATGGTTAACATGATATCTAGTTTTGCTTTGATACTTTTCAAGACTAACATGCATGTTGCATAAAATTAAAGCACCCGAGAGTCACTTACCAAGGTCATAAGTGATTTAATATGAAAGATCATATTTTATTTTATTTTTTTATTTATTTTTTTTTTTTGACAGGCAGAGTGGACAGTGAGAGAGAGAGACAGAGAGAGAAAGGTCTTCCTTTTGCCGTTGGTTCACCCTCCAATGGCCGCCGCTGCAGCCGGCGCACCGCGCTGATCCTGGCAGGAGCCAGGAGCCAGGTGCTTTTCCTGGTCTCCCATGGGGTGCAGGGCCCAAGCACCTGGGCCATCCTCCACTGCACTCCCTGGCCACAGCAGAGAGCTGGCCTGGAAGAGGGGCAACCGGGACAGAATCCGGCGCCCCGACCGGGACTAGAACCCGGTGTGCCGGCGCCGCAAGGTGGAGGATTAGCCTATTGAGCCACGGCGCCGGCTCGAAAGATCATATTTTATTATAACCCTAAGAGACTTAACAAAATCTAGGTAAACAAATTGCTAGTTTAGAAATGATGTGAACTTAGTTTTCCCAGAACACATCCACACACACAAACCCACCAAATTGTGTATATATGGCAACAGGCATTATTTCGTTGATCCCCAAGGTTGTGAATCCAGCAGCGGCTATTATAACATGCTTTGTTTTCATTATTGCAATGCTTAGTCAGTCATCTGAATTCTAGCCATTGCTGTTTATGGCAAGAAATAGCTTCCCAGCTGAGGCAGCACAGCCAGTCATACCTTTTTATTGATGTAATTTGACTTATTTTGGTTCTTTTTCCTAGTGTCTAACATTTTGTGAAGCCCTAACATAAATTATTGGCTTGTATAACCCACTGCATCAGCTTCACTCAGAGATTTGCTGCCTGTGCAGTTCCTGAATTTTCAAGTGTGAGAGATTTATTTTTCCTTCGTGAGTCCTAATGTTTCTACACGTGCTCACACACACACATGTTGAGGACGTGTGTGAGTACATAGGAATGCCAGTGAGAAAGTTAAACATATCCTTAGTTAATTCTCACACGAGATTCTGGAGAAATACTTACACTTATAGATACTGCTCGTCGTGTTCTCAGATTGACCTGATCATAAGCAGTGCGGTAGTGTTTTTAAATTTTGTCCTCTTTGGGTTTCTTTTCTTAGTAATTCTGACTAATCGGGACTTTGCACACTTCATCTCCTGGGTGAATATTTATTGTGTACATAGCTGGCAAATCAGTATTCCATAAACCAATGTAAATGGCAAAAAAAGCTACAGATAATAATCGTAATTATTGTGTATCAGACAACATGTTTTAGCCCTCATAGCAACCTGTAATATAGATGGAATTGTATTATCTTACTTGATCTTATTCCTTAGGTAGACAGAACAAGCTATTCAGCATTTATTTATTTATTTTTAAGGATTTATTTATTTATTTGAAAGAGTTACACAGAGAGAGGAGAGGCAGAGAGAGAGAGAGAGAGAGAGGTCTTCCATCTGCTGGTTCACTCCCCAGCTGACCGCAACAGCCGGAGCTGCACTGATCTGAAGCCAGGAGCCAGGAGCCAGGAGCCTCCTCCGGGTCTCCCACTCGAGTGCAGGGGCCCAAGGACCTGGGCCATCCTCCACTACTATCCCAGGCCATAGCAGAGAGCTGGACCAGAAATGGAGCAGCTGGGACCAGAACCAGCACCCATATGGGATTCTGGCCCTTTAGGCCAGGGCATTAACCCACTGCGCCACAGTGCAGGTCCATTCTTCATCATTTAACTTTATTATTTATTTGACAAGCAGAGAGACAGAGCTCCCATCTACTGGCTCACTCCCCAGAGGCCCACCACAGCCAGGGCAGAACCAGGTCAAAGCTAGAGCCAGGAGCTCACTCCAGGCCTCCTAGCAAGGTGCCAGGAACTCAATCACTTGAACCATCACTGCCACTTTAGCATTAGCAGGAATCTGGTGCACCCTTTTCGGCATTTAACATGCCTATATTCTCTTACTTGCCTTGGTTTTAGTGCCAGAATGTATCCTTATTTGTGCCCGATATTTCCCTCTCCAAAGAATAACATCTAATGAAAGGGAAAGGGGTTAGTGCCTGGCTCATGGAGTCGGGCAGGAATCTGGGGATATTAATTGTTTCGTAGATTTTCCAGCTTTACTTCAAGAAGTGGCATGGAGCCTTGGAGAGTCTTGAGGGGTAGCTGAGATTGCCTTTGAGGTGATAGCACAGGATCCAGCTGTTTCCAGTCTGCGTATTACCCCTGGCTGGCTGCTTTGCAGCCTGCGAAGTTGTGTTGCAATTAGATCTCCTGCTCTCTTGTTTCATGTGATTTTTAAAAATCCCTTGAAGGTTCCACTTCTGGTATTACTGTGTGGCTTCTATCAGGTCAACCCTCTTACAGTATAAAAATTATACAGTATGGATAAAAATAGAATAAAAACAAACTGCCGAAAGTCCTGGACAGTGACTGAAAGCAGATAGCTAACAAGAGAAGAGGGAACTGCTTGGAGTGTCTTCTTTGTAGGGCGTTTTAGCCTGAGGGCAGGCCCAGACTGTACCAGAGCAGCTAAAATTCTTAGATACCCTTGTGGGTCTCCTGAAGAAACAATAGAGTTCCGGGAAGTACAGCTGCTGGAAACGGAAGGGGGAAATTCTGTAGAAGTGAGAACTATAGATGGGAGCTCCAAATTCTGTGTATTCCCTCTGCTCAGATCTCTGACTGTTAGACCTGGCGTGCACAGTCTAGACCCTGAAAGCAACCCACCCTAGGGGAGATGGTGCTTTGCAGTTCTGAGTCCAGCCAAGTTAACTGCCTCCTCAACAAAACTAAAGAAGCTCTCACAATGTCTAGGATAGAACCCAAAATTGTTTGACACACAAAGAAACAGGAAAATCTGAGCCATTCTCAACAGAACTTAGCGAACACCAACCCCAAGATGACCTAAATGTTGGAGTTAGCTGGCAAGAACTTTAAAACTACTGTCATAACCACAATCAAAGATATAAAAGAAGTGTGCTTTTAGTAAATGTTGATGTAGGAAATTTCAGCTGAGAAACAGGAACTACTAAAAAAAAATACAAGAACTAAAAAGTGCAATATATGAAATAAAAATAAGACCTCTGGATGGGTTTTACAACAGAAGAGAAATGACAAAATAAGGTCTGTGAACTTGAGGGTGAATCAATAAAGATAGTGCAATCTAAAGCAAAAGATTCAAAAGAATAAATGATGAGAGTTCCAGAGGCTTGCTGGAAGAAAAGAGAACATGAGAATAGGAAACAAACTCTAAAAAGCCCAGGGACCTGTGGGACAATACTCTCATCATTAACATTCATCTGCTTAGAAGAAGAGAGAAAGAATGGGGCAGAAAACAAATATTTAAGATATAATGGTCCAAATTTTTCCATATTTGGTTCTGTAAAAGAAGATTTAGATGTGCAGAGTCACGGAGCTCAGCAAAGCCCGAGGAGGATAAATATAACCCATGCGTGCACCCTCACAGGCAAATGGCTGAAATCAGAAAGAGAAAATCTCGGAAGCAGCCAGGGAAAGCAGCACAATTCACAGAGGGGCACAGGCATATAAATACTGCTGTCTTCTCATTAGAGTAGAGGTGGGGACCCTTCCGCCCACAGGCACTGTAGGGCCCTTAGGTCCTTAGGTCGTCTGATCTGCCCTGCCAACACAACCGCAGGTGGGAATAGAAATTCAATAAATCTATAGGAGGCTAATGTTTAAGGTGATAATTTTGTATGGCCTGCAAATGATGCTATAAATATACAAATGGCCCTTGGCAGAAAGAAGGTTCCTAATCCCTACATTGACAGTGGAAGCATGAAGATCAGGAAGCACATCAATTTTTTTTTCTTGTTTTTTAAAGGCTTATTTATTTAAAAGGCAGGGTAACAGCGAGTAAGAGGCAGAGAAAGAAAGAAATCTTCCATCCACTAGTTCACTCCCCAAATGGCCCCAATAGCTGGGGCTGGACTAGGGGCCAGGCCAGAGGCAGGAGACCTAAACTCAGTCTGGGTCTCCCACATGGGTGGCAGGGGCCCAAGTACTTGGGCCATTCTCCACTGCCTGCCCAGATGGCTATGTGGAAGCTGAATCTGAAGTGGAGCTGGGACTCAAACCAGCACCGATGTAACCTGCTGCTTCTCAGTACACAGCTCTGAAACACATTTCTAAATGCTGAAGAAAAAGAGAATTCCATCACTGACATCTTATTGGAGTTTCATGAGTTTGCAAATGTAAATAGGTGTGTTCAGTCTGCCATCTTAACCCACAGGTCCCCAAAGTAACTCTTTAAAAGGAGGAAGAAGATTTTTAAAAAGCATTTTAAAGAAAACAGCAAACTTTAAAATAGTCTTGGCTCTTGTCTGTAGCCACAGCCATGCCTGCTGTGAACCCATGCACATGGCACACTACATACAGGTCAGCAGCTTCAAGGTAAACAGGTAGTCCCTGGAGGGGTAGAGCCACACACGCTGTTACACGAGCCATGTGAACCTGTTCTGCTTCTGGACAAAGCACGGTTTGCTGGAGTGGACATCCATGTCCCTGAGAAGGGTGGTGATCACGTGTCCCAGCTTTAGGCTGCCCACCAGTCTGTCTCCAGAGCCAGCTCGTGTTACCAGGAATGTATTGATGAGACATCCTCAACCAGTGTGACTGGACACCACTGGTAGCTGACTCCCATCACTGTGAATCCAAAACATTCAGAGGCTTCTACTTACTTCCAAAAGTGCTACTGATAAGCCCATCACAAGGACCAGGATTCACCGTTATAATAAACAATGGGATTCTAAGGTTTCAACAAATTATAATAAAATATTATTTTTACTTAACCAAATTTAGCATTATTGTTACTGCATTTTCAGCAGTGGAAGAATGAGATCCAAACACACTAGTGAGTGTCCCAAAGTCACAAGCAGGCATCTCTGAGTATTTATCTTTTCTTCGTCAAGAATTAAAATCCACCGAGTCAGAGTTTGGAGATCAGAAACAGCTTCTCTAACTTGCAACCCTGCAGACGCTGTTCTCCTGTCTTCTTAAGAGACATTCACCCTACTTAAAACCTAATTAATTAGGAATTTATTACCCCCGAATAGCTTTTAGGCTGTCTATGATATTAAAAGGGGATAAGGGTAGGTAGAAATAGGGTGGGGCAGGGAGAAAGGAAGGAAGGATGAAAACAAGCACACTCTACATAGAGAACCAAAATTCGTTTTCCTGTGCATTTATTCATAATACGTGAGTACATGCCATAAAGAAAGTAAATAGAATGTTATGGGAGCAGCAGTATTTGATATCCCTGTGCTTTAAATCAGATAGACGAGAGTTTTAATATTTTCTTGGCTATTTGTGGATTGTGTAACTTGAATCTCATAACTCTCTGAACTCCAAGGTCATCATCTATGAAGGAAAGATATAGTAATACCTCAGTGGTTTTAGGAACTTTGGATAAATTAAGATGGATCATTAAGGGGTGGTCATTGTGGTGTAGCAAGTAAAGCCACCTCCTACAATGCCAGCATCCCATGTGAGCACCTGCATGCATGTGTGAGACCCAGCAGAAGCTCCTGGCTCCTGGCTTCGGACCGGCCTAGCTCCAGCCGTTGTGGCCATTTGGGTAGTGAACCAGCAGATGAAAGACCTCTCTATCTGTCTCTACCTCTCTGTGTAACTCCACCTTTCAAATAAATAAACCTTAAAAAAAAAAAAAGAACAAGTGTTTCTAAGTGTATGGATTATAAAGTACATGAAGGGATACAGCATAATGTGAGTGAAGCTGGGAAGGTTGTGACATACGCACCTTAGCAAAAAATAAAGTCCTTCTCCCATATTGCAGCACTCAGGGAGACGCAAGATGAAACAAAGATTTGTCAAGAATTGCAATGGATGTTATTGATAGCTTGAAAAAAATGTGTTAATCATATAGTTATTGCCTTCTAGACAACTTAAAAATGCAAGAATGTGTCCAAGGGAAGGAAATAGCTGCCTTCCTATTTAAAAGAGGACAAGATGAAGAAAGAGTAAAATTAAACCTTGCTGAAGTCCTGAATTAACACAAATAGGTAGAGATCAAAAAGGTGAAATTTCTAGCTCACATGGGAAATAATATTTCTTAACAGATAAGCTGCCCAACAGTGGAATGGAAAGCCATGAGATGAGTGACACATCTGAGTTGTAGGATGTGTGTATGCCGAGGGTAGATGATTGTCAAGGATGCTAGAGAAAAGGCGTCTGCTCTGTGGGCTAGGAAAACCAGCATGCCTCCCAAGACCCTCAGCCCTGTGACTCTGTGCCTAGCCAGTGCTCTTGCTGTCATCTTGGGGTAAACCTGCATCCGGTTTTGCCCCACAAGAGCCATTCCATAAACAAATGGCTTCAGAATCTGTTTCTGGAGTCAGCAGTTTCAGCTGAGACCTTCCCCAGAGACTTCTCGTCAGTCCCTCTGAGCGTAGTCAGATGGTCTGCATCCACAGGAAGTCTCTGATGCCGGCCCCTGGACCTCAAGGCTGTCCTCCTCTGAACCAGAGCCTCCAGACACCGTGAGGCAGGGCCCGCCAGCCCCTTGCTCACCTGGTAACCGTAGAATTCTTTCCTTCTCTTCCTCTTAACCAAAACCTGCAGCTGCTTCCACTGAAGATGTTTTCCACAAGACCAAGAAGGTGATGGAGGGAGAGGGATGGGAATGTTGTCCGTATCTTCCGGCCGTTACTGTTCCCTTCTTGTGTAAAACCACCATCCTGCCTTTGAGGCTGTTTATTCCACTGCCACACCTGTGCACGTCCATGGGGAACTCAGAGTTTGCAGCCTTGCCAAAGGTTTCCACTCTTGTAAACGGTACTGCTCTCGTCTCATCCCTGTCCCCCTGGCCTGACTGCTTACTATTTTGTGTGTTCCTTTGTGCTTCTGGTCATTTGCACAGGCAGTTTCCTCTCTGTGAAATACTGTTTCCCTCCCCATGCCCCTACTAAAATCCAGCTTGTACTGTGTTAGTCCATATGGGTCATTACTTCATTTCCAAACGTCCTATCTCTCCGTGAGACTTGTTAGCTGTCCCTTCTCTGTGCTCTTGTGTTTTCTTCTAACCGGCTGCTTAGTATTTTTAATACAAGTATGTTTCAGATTTCTAAATGTCTTCTCCATTATTTTAGGATTACTTTGCAGGAACTGCCTCTTTTTTATCTTTGTGATTTCAGCCCATGGCCGGCACACAGAGGTGCTGAGTAGCATCCAGTAGGCTGATTGAACGCAGAGTGAGTGTGTGGTCTTTTCTGCACCTATACCAGACTGCAGGGCGAGCAGGAGGGAGTAGATGTGGTGTTGTTACCATAGCTGGTTTATCCAAATCCTGTTGGAAACATATATTCATACCGGATGAAAACATACAGATGAACTTGGGTTCAGAATAGGTTTGCCTCCTTTTTTTTTTTTTAATGTTCTCTGCCTGTTAATCCTGCCACCATCATCCCACTTTGGTTTTTCTGTCAATTTTCCAATCCCCTTACTTCAGTCTAGTCCCGACCCCCACCCCCCCATACACATCTCTTACTTCCAAATGCCATATATCTTATGTGTCTTGGGTGTTTTCTTTTTGATGTCTTTTTATATATGCTTGATTATTGAGACCCGAAATATCCCCATATAGTCTTAACTGAGGAACTTACACAGAAAAACTAATAATGAAATAGAAAAAGAAAGTACAACATTAAGGGTTTCCTGTAAAACTCAGTAGTGTTCTTAGGAGTGGCTGCTGCGGGGAGAAGAAGCTAACTAATTTATAAGATACTTACAACTCAAAGACTGTGGGGAGTTCTACATACACTATTTGAATTAATCCACCCAACAGCTCTGTGAAGCAGGTGGTGTTATATGTTCTCTGCTGACAAGGAACCAGGGACTATGGTGGGGGAGTGAGTGATTCGCCTTTGTTCAAACAGGTAGTAACCAGCAAACCTACACTTCCAACCCCAGGCCCTTTCACTTTCTTTGCTCCTTCTCCTTTACCATTTCGTGTATTTTGTTTTATTTTTATTTATTTGAAAGGAAAAGAAAGAGAAAGGGCGGGAGAAATCAATCTTCCATCGGCTGGTTTACTTTCCAGATGCCCACAACAGCCAGGGCTGCAGGCCAAAGCCAGGAGCCTGCAACTCATCCAACTCTCCCATTTGGGTTGCAGGGATCCAAGTACCTGAGCTATCATCTGCTGCCTCCCAGGGTACACATTAGCCGGAAGCTGGATCAGAAGCAGAGTAGCCAGGAGTCAAATCAGCCTCTGATGTGGGATATGGGCAGCTTAACCTGTGCACGATGCCTGTCCCAAGAAAGCTTTTTTTTCTACAGGAATCTATCCATAAATGAAATGAGAAACATGAACTTCACCCCTGCAATTTGTAATCCAATTTCCAAAAATAGTTCATTAGCAACCATGCACCTGGCATGATGTTAGGTCTGCACATTAAAAATACGTAAAATTCTCTGCCATTAAAGCATTTATAGTCTGGTTGTAGGTCTGGTGTAAGGATCACGTAAGGATCTCTCAGTGCCTCAGTTTCTTCATCTGTAATATAAGGATAGTAACAGTACCTGCCTTGTTAGTGTTCTTATGATGATTGAATAAGTTAAAATTTATGAAGTACTTAAAACAGGGCCTAGCAAATAGAAAATGCTTTTGAGATGTTTTTACCAGAGCAAAACTGGACTTTGGAATCAGTTTTCTAAAGTTATAAAAAAGTCATATGACCAAAGTTTTTTTTTTTTTCCCATCCTGAACCAGTTATTCAGGTGTATCTCAGTTGTCCAGCCTGTCTTCCATAAACTTGAACATCAAGATTCAGCTGTGACACTGACAAAAATGTTCTGGAATATTTTAGAGACTCATACTCTATGTATCATAAGAACTCAAATTCCCAAAAGGAAGTAAAGTCAGGGATGCTTCTTCAGTTTCACTAACCCTTTTCCTCTAAGCGGAACATTAGCCACTGGGGAGTAGGTCCCAGCATGTGTCAAATGCCCCACCTCTTTCTTCCTAACTAAAACCTCTGTGCTCTTGTTCAGAGCTATTTGCATTGTGCCTCACATGTAGCAGATCCATAGAAATGCTTATTAGAAGTGTTGAGCGACATTCTAGAATGTTCTCCCCCAATCTTCTCTGTGTCTATGTACTGCCTGCCCAAACAGGATCTGCTCAGGCCATGTTTCCTGTGAGCGCACCCCTGGTATCTTCAGGTGAAAAGTAGAAGTACTCTTTTCCACCTGTATTGGCTTTCTGTTGCTTTGTAACAAATTACCACAAATTCAGCAGCTTAACCACTACTCATTTTGATGTCACAGTTCTATAGGTCAGAATCCTGGATGGGCTCAGCTGGTTTCTCTGCTCAGGGTCTCACGAGGCCAAAATCAAGGTGTTGTTTGGAGTTGGCTCTTCTCTGGAGGCTCCTGGGAATGACCCACTTCGGAGCTCATTTAAATTGTTGGCAGAGTCCACTTCCTTGCAGGTTCCCATTTCCTCTCTGGCTCTCAGCCAGGGGCCGCTCTTTGCTCCTTCTAGAAGCCACCTGCCCTTCGTCTTTCATGGCCACTGCACCTTCAGACCAGCAATGTCATGTGATGCCCTTCCCATTTCCTTCTGCCGCAAGCCAGAGAAAACTGTCTGCTTTTGAAGGCTTGTGTGATTAGAATAGGCCCGCTCAGGTAATCTCCATTTGCTATAAACATCAAATATCAGAGGAGTGATACCAGGGGGTGAAAGTGACTGGGGCTGGTTTAAAATTCTGCTTACTCCCCCACCCTTCAAACTCCTGTAGAAGGGGTTGCTTTCCTTGCAAGTTCACTAAGTTATCCCTTCATTAAGAGGTAAGCCTCTGGCGGTACCCATCACACCCTGTAAGTAGTAGGCATTCCATGCATATCTAATGAGGTAATTGCTTTTTGTTAAAGAGGTTAGGAGATCAAGTCCTCATCAAAATTAGTTCAAAGCAAATTCTTTTTTTTTTTTTTTTTTTTTTTTTTTGACAGGCAGAGTGGACAGTGAGAGAGAGAGAGACAGAGAGAAAGGTCTTCCTTTTGCCGTTGGTTCACCCTCCAATGGCCACCTCGGCCAGCACGCTGCGGTCGGTGCACCGCGCGGATCCAATGGCAGGAGCCAGGTACTTCTCCTGGTCTCCCATGGGGTGCAGGGCCCAAGCACTTGGGCCATCCTCCAGTGCACTCCCCTGGCCACAGCAGAGACACAGCAGAGAGCTAGACAGGAAGAGGAGCAGTCGGGACTAGAACCCAGCGCCCATATGGCGCTGCAAGGCGGAGGATTAGCCTAGTGAGCCGCGGCGCCGGCCTCAAAGCAAATTCTAAGAGCATCCGTCCTGTCCAGTTGGAGGAGCAGTGTGCAGTGTTCATGATGTTTAGGATCTTTTTTTTTCCTAAGCTCCATTTGTTTATGATCATCCAGAGAGACTAAACAGTGTACACATGGGTTTGCACTCTTGTCACAGTTTACATGAGGTCAGAGGAATTCCACACACACACACACACACACACACAAAAACTTAAAAGGCATGAAGTAGCTATTATAGTAAAATTAATATTTTAAGAGAAGAAGAATCATAAATGAGAGAAAAGAGCGTTCTGGAAAACTGTGTTCCATTTAGAGCACCTCATTACCAGATTCTTTAAGGGAAACTGGAGGGAGTTCAGGGATGTGATGAATGATTGAGAGGCTGTAGAGATTAATTTACAAGCGAGGATTTTATAAGACTCAGTGTGTACTGCTCCGCTGAGCCACAGCTGAGTTAGAGGCATAACTCGGAGACAGTCAGATTTCTGAAATCTGATTAAAAGTTGAAGGTCTTCTTCATAAAAATTGGAATTAAATGAGGAATAAAAAAGCACAGTCTTTTCTAGCCAACTTTAAGCAGTATCTGGACTATGTGCTGTGATGTAAACTCTGAGTTGAGTTCAAATCCCAGCTCATCTATTTGCTACCTGGGAAGTTTCCAGGCAGCGTGTTTAACTTTCTAAACTGCCATGCATATGTGGAGTGGCAATTATCCCACCTACCCCACGGTTACCATGAAAATTAAGTGAAATGACATAAGTGAATAGGTTCCATGCCTAGCACAGATTGCAGGTTGAGGAAGACAGTAGCTGCTATTGATATCACATTATCATCATTATCCTTAGTTGGCTAAGAGTTCAGAGTGCTAGTATTCAGGACCGATCCGAAGCCAGGAGCTTCCTCCAGGTCTCCCAAGCAGGTACAGGGGCCCAAGCACTTAGGCCGTCTTCTGCTGCTTTCTCAGACCATAGCAGAGAGCTAGATCAGAAGAGGAGCAGCTGGGATATGAACCAGTGCCCATATAGGATGCCGCCACCGCAGGCAGAGGCTTAACCTACTACGCCGAAACGCTAGCCCCTAAAAATAGTTTTTTTAAGATTTATTTATTTGAAAATCAAAGTTAGAGAAAGAGATCTTCCATCCACTTGTTCATTCCCCGGATGACCGCAACAGCCAGGATTGAGCCAGACCAAAGCCAAGAGCCAGAGGCTTCATCCAGGTCTCCCACACAAACACTTGGGCCATCTTCAGCTGCTTTTCCAAGGCCGTCAGCAGGGAGTTGGATCGGAAATGGAGCAGTCAGGACATGAACCAGTACCTGTATGGGATGCCAGTGTCACAGGCAGTGGCTTTACCTACTGTGCCACAATACCAGCCCCTTCATCTGCATTTCTGCCTTTACCAACACCACCTTCAATACATACAAACACACACACACACGCGCACATATACATACACACATGTGCACACACACAAACTGTTCAATAAATAGTTAATTATATATTGACTGAATTGAGTAAGTTCTGTCAATGACCATGGTCACTGTACATTGCTAGGGAGGTGGTGGAGTGGGCCTCTGTTTTCCTTATATAATCAAATTTATAGTAAGAGATTTAAGTGCATATCTAACTCCAATAAAATTCTTAGATTTGTCTGAACTTTTATGAACAAATCTCTGCACTCAGAACATTTTCATTTTGCTTTTTCCACACATAGGAACTCCTTGTGGCTCCTCACTACATGTAGGTCTGTGTTATTGCAATCAACAGAATATACCCTAGCTAGATTAAGCAGAATTGGGGTCAGAGTGTTACTAATTACAAGGTATTAAGATTGATTAGCGAGTATAAGTCAGATGTATGAAGTACTCATCAGCAGGGATTCCTATTCATCATTCAGTAGCTAACGGAAACTCCAGCAGGACCAGCAGAGATATAGATGGCAAATAAGCATGTGGAAAAATGCTCAATATTTTTAGCAAATTAAAACTCCAGCATGGGGCCAGTGTTGCAGCACACTGGATTAAGCCACCATTTGGGATGCCAACATTCCATTTTCAGAATACCAACTTGAGTCCTAGCTGGTCTGCTTCTGATTCAGCTCCCTACTAATGTGCTTGAGTCCCTGCCACCCACGTGAGAGGCTCGTATGGAGTTCAGGATCCTGGCTTCAGCCTGACCCAGCTTCAGCCATTGCGAAATGAACCAGCAAATGGAAGATCTCTCTATCTCTCCTTCTCTCTCTCTATCACTCTTCTTTTCAAATAAATAAATAAATCTTTAAAGCACACATACAATAAGTTCCTACTACACAGCTGCTAGAATAGCTAAATTGTAACAGTTGACAGTTTTAAGTGCTGACAACAATGCAAGCAACTGAAAATTCACCCACTGCTACTGGGAATGCCAGATGCCACTTTGAAAAACGGTTTGGCATTTTTAAGTAAAGTTAGAATTGTATCTTCCATTCGACCCAGCAGTTCTACCCCTAATATTAATCCAGGTATTGATACAGGAGAAACTAAAATATATGTGTAAATGAAAACTTCTGGCCAAATATGCATAACACCTTAATTAAGCAGACAAAATGATGCTCTTAAATCTTACATATGGAAATATATGAAATTTGTTTCCCTTGTTATAAATTTAAAAATTAAAAATAATAATAGACAAAAGGGAAACAGCCCAAATGCCTATCAAGTGGTGCACTAAACAGTGGAATCCTACTTTGCAGTAAGAAGGAGCAAAATACTCACTCAGATCGCAGCCATCTGAATGCATCTCAGAAGCATAAATGAGGAGACAGATGGGCGTTTAAGTACTAATCTGTGACTTTATTGCTGCAACATTCTGGAAAGCTGTCTGCTCTGCTAGACTGTGCGTGTTCTGACCTGTACAGTTCTTCGCATCAAGATTGTATCAACGTCAGTGAACTGGAAGCAGGGATGGCTGAGGTGGATCAGTTTAAGGAGTCAGGGTTAGCTCTAAAGGAAATCAAGAATCCAGATTCTGTGCGTAGAAGCCCAGCACACGTAGGTTCTGGTGGCTGGAGTCAGCCTGGCCAACCTTAGGCCATCTCAACTCTCGCCCGCCTCAGGGTAAATGAAGCAGGTGGGCTGCTTGCCTTCACAGACGCCACTCGGTTCTGATGCTAATTCCGTATTCTAAGAGCAGTTGATGGAGTGTGACTGAGAGGAGGAGTCAAGGAGCTTTCCCACTTTTGGACTGTAGAGCTTTTGGACTTGACTCTGAGGCTTTGGTCCCAGAATGGCAGGCCTCAGCTGTGTCCAGTGTTTACATTATAGCGTATCTATTTTGGAAAAGACCAACATGTGTTTATAGATGGGGATGGAAAAGTACTTAGGTTGTTCTTGCAACCAGAGTCTTATAATCGAGTTTTTATGCTTTTCCTTAGAGATCCATATTGCAGTGCCTCCCTGTAAGAAACAATATTATTGCTCATATTAAATATTCTTTCAGCAGCTTTTCCATATCTTTGAGAGTTGTGTTTTCTTCTAGGAAGGCAGATTTTACTGTTGACATGATGGTGCCCTTTCTTTTAAGCTCATAATCTGGTTCTTTTCATGTCTTGTGGAACCATAGTATTTAAAAATGAATTGAAATATCAGTAACTGGTCTTACAAAGATTTTTGACTGCATAAGCCAGAACTCTAAAGTTAAGTCTCTGATGCATATGTACGGTTTTAATTTCTTATTTTTCAGTTCCTCCAGACTGGTTCTCTTTGTAGTCAAATTCATTGTAATCCCATCACGAAAGTGTTGCTCTTCTAGCAACCTCTATTGAAGCATTGTATTAATCCACATTCCCTCACGGTGCCAGACGGTTTGTATCAAGTATATCATGCAGCTTTGCTCAGGCTCCATATGGAACTAATAAGCCACGCAATAAGTGGCCTTGTGTAGATGAATGTAGTTTGAAAGGGTGTGTGTGTGTGTGTGTGTGTTTATTGTCTAAATTCCTCCTCTGCCAAAACCTAAATGGCAGAATGATTCCTGAACCCCTAGAGTTTTTCGTGGCCTAGAAAAATTGTGTTTTGAAAAATAAAAATAAAATTGAGCACTTTGATTTTAAATTAGACCTCTCAACTCACTGGGAGGATGCTGAGTACAAAAACTCTACATTTTCCTCCTCAGAAGTACAGTCAACCTGTATTTTAAATGTGCTCTTCTGAGCTGCAAGTGACCATACCTAGGTAATGAGGCAGCATTTAGCAAGCTGTACAAACCAGTTAATTCCAGCAAGAACTCTAATGTCATAGTTGATCTTTCTTATTTATTTATCTTATTTATTAGTGAAGCGCATGGTGAATGTGCAGTGATTTGGAAGGAAACCAGCGTGTTGCTTTGGAAAAATGTTTTTTGTGCACAGGAGGAATGCAGAAGGAAAGGAGAGAGAGGATAATGGGACTGACGTGGCTGTAATCTGTTGCACTGTCAATCCACCCTTTGCTCTGGTTTCTTTCTTTCTGCTTGTTGCAGTAACCATAAGCCAGATCTGCCTGCCTATTTTAGCATAGGGTTTCCTTTTGCTAGGAGACAATAGTTTGTTAATTTTTCCGTGGAAACCACTGAACATTGCTTCTCCCCACTTCCCTTTGGTTTATTATCTATATGTAGCTTGTGCCTTAGTTGCCCATTAGCTACCGAGCTGAACAAAAATTGAATTGTTCCCATGGAGTCCTAAACCAATCAGAGAAGAGCTGAAATTCGAGCTAATTGAAACCAAAATTCCATGTAAAGACTGCTTAGACTCTTTGGGTGGCGGTGCAGTAGGAAGTTGTTACAAAAGGTGTTTATTTCTGAGGCTAATTTGAGGCAGTTAGACCCCAAGCAATATTTGGTTTGCTTGGGTTTCTTGGCAGTGCCTTCCC